ACTTACCCAAGCAGCTGCAATCAATTCAAGCAATTCAGATTGATTAGACTAAGCATATCATTCAAATTGTGTAGGCTCATTAATTTTCAAGGTGAGTTCAACTATATATCTTGCATTATAATTTTACTAACTAAAATAATATTTTAGTAAAATTGAGACAAAGAAATTTACAAAAGACACTTAACACCTCTCCGTTTTGTCTTTTGCACCATATAAAAAGCCTACTCTTTTATATTGTTTAGGAAATTAATAAGTAGAGTAAGTCTGATGAAAATCTAATAGCTCTATTTCCAATTACTTCAGTTAATTTTTTAACCCTAGCTCTATCTCCAATTCAGACAATTTTTTAACTATCAGTTTTTGGAACAAAAAAAAAAAAAATTATACAGACTATCAAATCACAAAAACAACACGGCAAATAAACTTCAATTTATATTTTTGCTGTAGTTTGACTGCTGCTTTCTCTCTTACTTCTTAACCTGCACCCATTTTTCCAGGAAAAAGTACAAGTATTATCTTTATATATTGACACATTTTTTGTGCATGTGCTTGCCACTTGTGCAAATATTGGTGGCGATACCCTTAGAAATCAATGGTTTTAATCCATCTTTATTTAACAATTCTCACTTCTCATTATTACATTTAGTTTCCAAATTCCTGATTTTTTTCTTCCATTTTTGCAGTTCATAACATTCGACCAAATGAATGGACAAAACTATCAGGCAACAATGTTGGAGAACTTCACTACAGGTACTATCCAGTTGAAACAAAACTTGTAGAACTGGAGATAGCGGAATTTTTAGTCGCGTAAGAGACAGAAAGCGAATAAAAATAGTAGAATATTTTCTAATTACTACCGTATTCTTCCAAATTACATTTAAGGCATTAGACATGCTCAAACTTATTTCACTTGTAGTATTTTGTTTTATAAACAAGTCATGCCATTTTTGATACAGTTCAATTCTTGGCTTTCCTTTCCTCTTCAAATCTGGCCACCAACTTTCCTTCATTTGTGAGGTGCTTTGTTTTGTTTTGTTTTTCTGAGGAGTGTATAAAAAAGATTAGCAAATCAAAAATTCAATTCATATAATTATACAAACAATACCTTACTTATATTTTTAAAAAAATGTATTCAAATCACTCCACACTATTAAATACCCAGTTAAACTATACAACACGTGCATTGCACGTGCTCACACTAGTATTTATAGATAAGAGTGAATCCTCCCTTTCACTGTTCAAATTTTCGTCCAATACGACGCCGTTTTGGGAAGTTGGTAAAATGACGTCGTTTTATGTGTTATAAGTATTGCACGTGCTCACACTAGTATTATATAAACAATAGAGTTTATTAATTAATAGAGTAACTATCAAACTGAAGCAATCAAAGAAAGAAGATAGGTAATCCATCTTCACATTCTGAAGGTTCTTTTTTAGCAGAAACTTTGCCAAAGCCTAGGTGAGATTTTCGTGCCTCCTCCTCAACCTGAAGGGGGTTTTGGATTACCTGACCATATTTTATAATTAAACAAAAATACACATGGGAGGGGGACTTGAACCTTACCTTCAGAGTTACAACTGGAGGGGAATAGTATAATAAATACAAGCATAAGTAGACTGAAGGAGTATACCTTCATTACATAAATCCACACATGGAAGAAATAAAAGAAAATAATAAGATCATCTAAATAAGGGATCAAATGTTGTTCCAACTTAATTATGGTCTTCACCTTAGTTGGCAGTTGTGGTTGAAATTCAGCGTACTGTTGCTCCTAGCAGCCCGCATTTGCAAACCAATCAGCTGCACGGTTCGCTTCTCAGCAAATATGCGAAATTTACATTCATTTTATCCTGTAAAAATAACTTGATCCAAAACTAGCTGAATATCCCGTGTTCGCCCTTTTCTTTGTTTGATAGTGTGATTGACATGGTTGAATCCGATTCGATCCAGACATTATTAAAACCCAACTGGTAGCAGATTTCAAGACCTCTTAATATAGCTCATAATTCAGCTCCAAAGTTCAAACACGACCCATAAAAATCATAGAAAGTCGCCAAGCAGAACTGCTCTGTTATCAGGAAAAATACCACCACCTGCCGCAGCCCCCCAGCCCTTTCAAAAAGCCATTAGTGTTTAATGTAACCCTCCCATCTGCAGGTAGTAACTATCGCACTAATATAGACGGCTTAGGCGAAGGCAGTTTGTATTGGATACCAAATTTCTGTGCTAATACCATATCACCTACTGATGAGAAGATTTTAGGACACCACCCCTATGCACAAGCCCAATGAAGTTATAAATTCTCCAAATAATACGCTGCCCATTCATATTGGTGTCTTCATATTTGGTACCATTTCGTTCAATCCACAAAAACCGACAGATAGGTAATGGCATATTCGTTCTAACATGTCCACGAGAGACAAATTTACCCGAATAGTCCCAAATCTTGAACCTGTGCTTGACATGAATCCATAGGTGATAAATCCAAGCCAAACATCGATGCAAAATGATCCCAGACCATTTGAGCTAGTATGCTTTGGAATGATTATGCTTGAATGTTTCTATACTTTTAATGTAGTAGCATTAGATGCCAACTGAATTGCCAATCTCCTTTGTAATACCCAATCAATAGGCAACCCACCGTGCCAGTCTCCCTTAGAAAAAAGATTTTTTTGGACGTACTTGGGAACCGCATGAGTTTATAGGAATGTTGGCAGCAACTTGCTCCGAGGCCACCTCGCAACTGAACTTTCCATCAATTGATGCTCTCCAGAATGGCATAAGAATGGCTTATCCTCACGGTGAAACAAAGGGATTTGTGCTGAAGGTTACCTCCTAAAGCAATCAAAGTAAATTTTCTTCAGGCACTAAAAGATGTTTTTAACATTTTTTCACCATCATATGCATGCTATGATGCCATGCAGAATTTCCATAGTATGCACCAATTTGAAGTCTAAAATTATGAAGTAGATACTAATTTGGTTCAATAATTTTTAAATTTGGCAAGTTTTTAATTTGACATTTTGATAAATCTCATTGTAGGGTTTTTGGTATATAGATTTTATCTAAATTATTCGATTATTCTCTCTTTTTCTTTTAGGTTATTGAAGAAGGAACAAAAAAGTCTGTAGCGAGAACCTTTGGAACCATATGAATTATGAGCATAAAATTAGATAAAATCTTATGCATTAATAAAATTGAATATGATAATTTTCAGAGTTACAGTCACACCTAATGGGGTTAATTACGCCATGGTCATTGAAGTTTTGAGTTATCACGTCAATGGTCATTGAAGTTATTTCTTACGGTAATAGTCGCTCAAATTTCTGTTTGTTACAGTGATTAAAAAAATTAACATTAGATCCTACATGGGACCATTAAGTGTCAATGTGTCACCAAATAACATTATTTATTATTTCAAGTCATATTGTTGTTAATCCTCAATTCATAACTCTCCAATTTTTTTGACTACTAGTAATAAATAACGTCATTTGATGACACATTGGTACTTAATGGTGTCACATATAACTTAATGTTAATTTTCTTGACCGAATGACCAGTAGTGTAACAGTTAGAAACTTGAGTGACTATTAGCGTAAAAAAAATAACTTCAGTTAGAGTAAATACTCAAAACTTCAATGACAATTGGTATAATTACCCCTCCTAATGCAATAGTTATGACTTGAATACCGACCAAGAACAGTAATTTCTGTATCTATTAATCATTTTATAAGTGTAATCTTCAATTCGAGTTCTTTGGGTAATATTTTGTTATAGTAAAATAGATTTGATGTCTACAAGTCTACAAGTAATTTTTTGGATAACATAGCATGATTTTCTAGTAGTAACCAAATACCAAAGTCTATTGTTATAGAAACCTCTTTGCACTGCATGAGGCTGAAAGAGTTGCGACTAACGTGATAAATAAATACGTTAAGGCCTTCTATGTTATAAGGCTGAAAAGTGGCTGTGCCTTTTTTTTTTGGGGGAACGGGTCTGTCTTTAATGAAGAAAATCGCGCTCTGCTTTCAGCACACAAGTTGATTGAATTTCAGGTGCAGTGTCTTGGAGAGCTTGTACATTCGTATGGCAAATCAGAGACAATTGGTATTGATACCCATATTGAATCAGGTAAGAGTTCTGTTCAAGCAACTTAGGTTAGAGTGAATGGAATGCTGAACAGAAAGGAATAAAGGCGGGTTCTATGTGAAATTTTGATTTGCTATCATCCAGGTGTACCTTAATTATATTTTATTTTTCCATTTCTATCCTTTTAAATGAAATTCTTTGATACTATAGTGAAAAAAAAAAAATGCCGAAATGATGGAATCTGGGTGATGATAATGTTTAAAGTTCTAAAGAAATTATCTCAACGTTTGTTGAGATAATTCTTTTTCTTCAGTCCACAATGATATCACTTGTTTTTGTGGGGTCAAAGCCTTTGACTACATGTATATAGTAGGTAAGAAAGTGTTGGGCAGTGAGCATAATATTTGGTCAGTTCAATTCTGGATGCTAAGAGAATAAAGTTCAATTTTGGCTGCTTGAAATTATGTTGTATACTGGATACAAACTTTCGCCTCAAGACAATGCTTTTCTGCAATGCATAAGAATTTCATATTGAATAACCATAAACACCGAAGCAGCTTTACTACAAATTGAAGATGTTGCAGCTAACTTAGCATTGTTACTAATTTCCTCTTGATTCATGTGATAATACTAGTCCTTTTATGTCCTGCGTTAGAAATGTTCATACCAACACAAGAAATGCAGTATTCTGAGAAAATAGAAAGTTCAATTTGCTGATTTTGGGATTTTGGTGCAGAACTAAGAAGTACGTAGAAACATGAGGGGAGAAGATGAGAAATTTCTCAATCTGTACAGCACGCATCATGAAGGTATTCAGATGAAGGAAAATCAGAAGTCGATTACTTTAAAACATAAGTTGAAAGTAAACAAAAGCTTTTCCTTTGCAAGAGCAAAAAACTGGGAGCAGATTTCAGTCGTCCGGCAGGAAGTCTTCATCTGAGGCGTCTCCCAGAAATGAACCCAGAGTCTTTCTCAGAATGCTGAAAGTCTTATCATCCTGCAAAACAAGTATAACTTCATATTTGAGCTTGAAGGCAGCAACAGAATGCAGAAGATATGATTCACTGTTTACCTGCTTTTTCTTCTTCAGGGACTCGTCCAGTTCCGCAATTCTTGCTGCACTGGCTTTCTCATGTTCAGATAACATGCTCTTCTCCTTCTTCCCTGGTTATTGCAAAACCTAATAGAAGTTATATATCTTCCAAATAAAGTGTGGGAATGAAAAACGCATTAGGTACATTTTGCTCACTTAGTTGTTCATATCGAGAGATTAACCTTTCTTTCTCCTCTTCATATTTGTCAACTACATCTGTTATCAAAATCCATTAACTATATCAACGAAAAGGCACATCAATTTGCCAATTCAAGATTTATTACTTAGATTTGCCAAATGACGCCACTCGCAAAATACCACATCCTCGGGAACGTACCTTTCAAGGCCTGCAGATGTGTAGCTTTCTCCTTGCAGAAACTATCGTAAGCGGCTTGGAACTTGGCAGTCTCATTCTTCAGTAAACTCTCACACTGCACGGATTTAAACATGCAAGCGAGTACAATCAACATAAAACATGAACAGCAGGACGATATTATAAAATTTAACCACATTATGTTCATTCAATATGCAGACCTCTTTTGAGCTCTTGGAGAGAGCCTTGGCAAAGTTTTGCCTGGCAATTCAAAACATGAAACAAAAAACTTGACTATGAGAGTTGAATATAATGATACAGGAAAGTACTAAACAAGTGTACATCTGAAAACACACAATATCCCATTGTTGAAGCCTGGGATATCTCACCTTTCTTTCTCAAGTTTTGATTTCAACCCATCCAAATTTGACTTTATGTCTGAAGCGACACTGTCAGCAAAATCAAATATGCAATCACAAGTATGAAGAAAGGTTATTCAACTATCTTTCACTAATAGTTCATGAATTTTGATTCTTGTACATTAAAATAGTACATAAGCGGTTATCGAAAATGATGTAGAGTGAAAATATTAGATGAAAAATGTGATTATGTTTGAAATTGACAAATATTGAGTGTTATGTGACATTATGTAATCATTTGTGCAAATCTTGATGTACATATGACAAAAACATATTTCGTGCCACAATTGAAAGCAAAGCAAAGGAAAGAGGGCGTGACTAGGAGTTGGTACTCTAAAGGTTTACATCTCTCTCTCTGTCTCTCCCCCTTGAACAATCAGTGATTTCCATGATTAATAATATACAAGGGAACGAGACAACAGAATTCAGGCAGGCTCGTAAACAATTTCTATTCTGTAATTTTCCAAATATCACGATGATTGATTGACTCAGACATTCAGTAAACATATGATGAACAGTATCTCAGTTATTAGCACGTAGTTAAACAATAAATTCTCAAATTTCTTAATTTCTGAAGGAAATCTAAGGTGGAATCAAAGTGAGTAAAGTACAGATACAAGATTACAATCAACTGATAATGAATTTTAACAATATTCCACGTATTAACTCAAAATAGTGTAGATTGAGTCTCTATAGTTGATGAAACGGTAGCGTTTTATTATTTTTTTTGAATTGCATAATTTTACAATAACATTAGAGGAAACTATTAAACTTCTGACCACAGCAAAAAATTGACATCAATACTTTCAAATCCGATCACAATCACCGAGAATTTATAGGATACGCCAGACACGCATGTAGACTATAAACAAGAAATCGGCGTACATTGAGAAAATGCACGAAGTTTCACCTAGAAATTGTCTCTTCGTTCTTCTTCTGACCGTCCTTTTGCGCCTTCTCTTTGATCTGCTTAAGAGCACTCATGATTTCTTTGATATCACTGCATCTTAAACATTACTTCATCAGTTTTACGATAAACATAAAGAACTACTCGAATATAAGTATAAGGAGATGAGATTGAAGAATGATGACTTGGAGATGTCCGCATCAAAATCGTCGTCGACGGTGACTCTTTTTCGACTCTCCGATTTTGAATCGTTCGACTCCGAAACTCGTTTCTTCGCGCTCGCTGTTGTTGCCGACATTGTGAAGATCTGGTTTCTCTTAAAATTTTCAAATTGGTGCGCAGATGTTCGCGCGTCTCAGCGTTGAGAGAGATGGGGTTCGGAGACAAAATGAAAAATTAGAGAATTTAAAAATTCTAACGGTATTTGTAATTAATGATTAATGGCGGGTAACAAAGAGGATGGATTAACTTTTTGAGTTTTTCCTGAGATAATTATATTCACAGTACAATTATTTTTATTTTTATTTTTATTTTAATTATACCACATTTTGATTGTACCTAAAGTCATCAATATTTTTTTCATTACAACACTTATATTTTTAACATTTTTCATCAAATTCTTATCTTTAATCCTCCATTAAGTAGCATCACATCTCGCATTTTGACGATGATTTTTTGTCAAAATATTCTATTTGCATATTTTGAAATGAGGTAAAAATATTGTGTCACACTTTTGCATTATTTTTCAAAAATATATAATGAGTAAATAAGTTGTTTTACGTCCTTTGAACGAACTTTTTAGATGGAAACGGTAAGGAGAGATATGATGTGTTAATTAATGAATAGTTGAGGATAAGAATCGTTGAAAAATGTTAAAATAAGCACTAAAATCAGTAAAGATTGAGGACTCTAATTGAAATTAAAATGTAGTTTATTTATAATATATTAAATATCGCATCAAGTGATAATCATTTATTGAACGATTATAGCCCTACTATAATTTAATCCTTTCAATTATATCTTACTTTTCGTTTTTAAATATGTATTTAATTTACAAATTTTTATAAATACTATAATTAATTTCAATTAATTAACATTCGCATTTATTTAATTAATATTAATTAGAATTTCACATTCACGTACTTCTCACTATTATTGATTCTTAATTAATTAACATTCACATTCACATTTACTTAATTAATATTAATCAGAATTTCACATTCAAAAATGCAGTTCATTATTTACGTCCATATATACTAATTAGCATTCAATTTCATTTAATTGAAAATTGAATTATACTCATTCAATATAAATGATTTAACATTCATTGTCGCATATATATTCACTGGTATTAATTATAAATTAATTAATATTCACTTTAATTTATGTATCGTATTTCTCATTCATATTCATTTATGCATTTAGTTGTAATTCTAATACTCATATCTAAGTATACATTTCACTATTTACATTCATGTATAATAATTAACATTTATTTTCATCGGCTTACATTTCTCTCATATTTAGATCAAAACGATAAATGGAGAGTCAAATATTATTTTCACAACATTTATAAATCATTTCAGAATAACGTATAACGTACGTTCAACTTTGACTAATAATTAATAAAAAAGGGAATATAATTACACATTCCCTTGAATGCAAAATTAACTCTATGATGAACAATATTCGTTGTAATTACACTTTCACTCGGTATTAGTCAAGTAATTATACTCTAATTTTATATCGATAACTTCGTCCAATTCCATCACTTGAATTGATGGGAATTGGTGACACAACAATAAAAGAATGTTGTTGTCATTTATTCCACTATGGTCATATTTGTTATATTTTAGCAACCATTGATTTCGTGTGATTACCATCATTTATTAATTGTCATGTCATCAATTCTAAAGGTAGAATTTGACGAAGTCACTACATGACTTGACGATACTAGGTGAAAGTATAGTTTCTGTGCATGAAATCTACCCATTAACTTTACAAAATAATCTATTAAGATATATTTAGTAGATGAGTCGAACAATATTTAACAATTTTAAATAAGAGAAAGAAACTAGAATTGCGTTGGATGGTGAGCCTTGTTCAATTTGACCCAGGGACGAACGCATAAGTTTAAAGTTAGGGAGGCACAATCGAACTTGTAAAGAAATTGAGAGAAATTTTACAATCGAAAATTTACGTCTAAAAAAATCATACCCAATATAATTTTGTATCCGAAAATTTACAATGGATGTGAACTTTTTCAAGTGCAAAAATTTCGAAAAATTTTTATGTCATATTTCATATAAAGTTTCATAATAAAATGATGAAAATTACATTGATAAATTTGTATTTCAAAAATAATAAATGTTAATAAAATAATTGAATTTTTTTAAAGAAAATGTGAGTTAAACGCTTTTCTTTAAAACTCATGTTTAATGTATTTTTAACTATTTTCGATATCTGTTTGGATTATTTGATATGTCTATAGTGTAGTTATCGAAATAAGTTTTGAGATGACATAATCAATTTGTAGATTCAATTAACATACGATCGTTGAAAAATTTATAAAGTTAGCATATTATCGAAATTTTTGAAATACTAATTTTGAACGGCTTACTTTGACAAGTCGTAGCATTTCGAAATGGTATTAAGAATGCAATATTTCGCCCTTATTTAATGGAGAGTTAAGATTTTGTTAAAATATGAGAGAAAAATAGAAAAAATAAAATTTATTGTGCAATTGCATCTGTTTGATGGAGATTAAAATCATATTTTTAGTAAATTTTAATAAAAGTTGAATAATTATGGATTTCATGAAATATGTTATTAAAATTAATTGTTAACTTTGATTTAGATTAAAATTTATATTTCAGTCGATACCAAACATGACTTTATATTAAAAAAAAAAAAACTCAAAAGTTGGGAGGGCACGTAGCCCCAGGACCGCCCTGGGTCCGTCCATGATTTGACCCGATGTTGAGATTTCCAGGAAAAAAATGAAAAAAAAACAAGAAAATAATTGTCGCTCGAATTGACAAATTCAAATGACCTACAATTCCAAAATTTGAAATCCTCATAAGATTTTGATTTTGATTTTGAAAATCATTGCTTTCTCATGGGCATAGAATAGAAAAAACTTGGTTCTTTTTTTTTTTGGTATGAAGTTGATTTTCAATTTTTTCACTCTACTATTGCTGGTAAATTTCGCACACGATTATAATTATTATACTATTCAAATCATATCAAGATCTCAACAAATTTAACCGTAACTCTACTTGCAGAGTTCTAGTATAAGTTTCAATCAATATGATCGTCACACTACATTTTCATTTGGGTCCCATGAAAAAACCTTTAAGAATTAGAAACATTAATGAGCAATTAAATTGCAGAATAAAAAATAAATAACGCATATGAAAAGAAGTTTAAAATCGAAAATTTCTCTCTTTTTATGATAATAATAAATCCTAATAACGAAATTTCAAGTGTTAAATTTCTAAACTATTTGTAAAGAAATTTTGATCCGCCCCCTTCCAACCCTTTGGCGACTTCATCGCGAAGATCAATCCACGTACTGACTCTACACAACAGCAATAATTAGACTTTACAATTTAACAAAAACAATAAGAATATGTTTTTTGATTCGAATATAATTATTCAGTTTCATTGTTTAAATTCTTAAATAATTCATATATTCAACGAATGGTCCGGTCCCCTAGTCTCTCTCTCAACTTGTATAAGAGAGTGACATGCAAGAAAGTGAAAACCTAATTCGCTACTGAAATCACATTACAAGTTTTAGGCAAAATTGAATTGACTTCTTTGGCCGTTTGTATCTTGCGTCGCATTCTTCTGTTCAATTTGGAAGGTGAAGTTACGTAAATTTTGGGGAAGACTAGTTTTCCAAGGACCTAAAATAGTTTTTTCTTATATCAAGAAATGAAATAAATGATCGACGTTGGTGATGATTTTGAAACGGTCAACTTACGTGCAAGAGACATGCATCGAGAAATTATGACA